TCACTGGGGACACAAAGGTACCGGAGGTGAGTTCTTGCTCGCAACAGCCCTGCTTCACCAGGAGCGGTTCGGTAATGCTAAGTGACTCCCTGGTCAAATGCGTATGTGATTTTCCCATCCAAATGCACAGCCGGGAGAATAACACAGCGTTCACACTCCAGGGATAAATTACCCAGCAGAGAAATTACTGGCTCAGCAGAAAATAATAGATCACCCATCTAATCAGATCCATCTGCTCATTGAACCTGATACATCACCTGGTGACAGGACACTGTGTATATCTGCAGTGGGACGGAGGCATCTCGAGCCAGCTGTAAAGCTGCATTACGGCAGAGCCACCACAGGGGAGACATCCCATGGGGACCGCGTGCAGCAGGTGCTGGCTGACAGCGTGGCCACCAAACTGCCCAATTCCAGCATTGCACAGAGCTGTCAGCAGTGGAGCCACCACTGGTGGCTGCTTTCCAAAAGGCTGTAGGCTGCCCCAAACCCCTGGCAGTGAGGGTCTGGAAGGGTCCAACCAGTTGCCCCGGGCTGGAAGGAGGTCTCAGCATCTTTTGAGTGTCAAGGAAAGCCATGTACCAGAAGAGGATGAAAGCACCGATCCCAAACAAGGCTTCAAGAAAGGTCTGGTGGAGACCAGGATAATAATAGGGAAGATGTGAAGGATCAGAACTGCTCCTACAAGCAGCTCCAAAAATGTGACTTCTCCTCTTGGAAAGCAAGATCAGAAGTGTGGAAGACGAATGTTGTGTGCTTTTCATTGGAGGTTAGGGGTTGGATTTGTCACCTTCCTCCTCTGTTTCATTTGGAGTCTTCTGTGGGTTGTCCTGAGAACACACGTGTGCCCTCGCATGGAGTGATAGATGACTTACAGCCAGGTGGCACCATGAAGTCAAGACAGAGGAAAGCAGGAACCTTTGAGGAAGCTTTAATCAATGGTAATTGCTGCTGGATTATGGGTTTATCCATTCATTCTCCAAAGGACTGCTTCACAACACTGTATGTCCACCAGGGTAAAGGAGGAGCTCTCCTGAAACCGTGCAAATGCTTCCCATTGCCAGAGCCTTTTACGTAGGTGTCCTCAGGGATGTCAGATGCTCAACAGCTCCCATGCCGTAGCTGGGAGAGCCTGGGGGAGTGGGAGTACTGCTTAACCAGCAGCCTGTGATGGGCATCATTGACAGGGCCTCCCATGTCCAAGCGTGTTGACCTCAGGGTTTAGCAATCCAGACTATAGGTATTAGTCCGAAGATGTGCTGAGATTTAAACGGTAAATCTAGCTTGGGTTAGTTGGTTTTAAGGGAGGGAGGGACAGAGTAAGTCTTCCCCAAGAAGGGAGCGGGAGGGATACAGAGGAGGGTGCGGGGAGGTGAGGAAGAGCTGGGAAGGAATAAGGATGACGTGGCCGTGTTTGCTGTATGCATTTCCCACGGCCGTGTGGAAGCCGTATGCAAAGAGAAGGATGGTGTGGCAGATACCGCTGCACAGGGAGGAAGTACTTTCGAGTCGTCTTACGAATAAGCCATAAGTTATGATGATCCCAAGAGAGATCTTGCAGGAAAATGTATAATAGTCACAAGAAAACCCCTCCAGATTTACAAGCAGAATAAAATCCAAATTTATACATTTGGGGGAAAAGAAGAACCCAGTCATGGAATCATAGAAAGGAGGGCAAGGAGAGACTTAAGAGGTCAACCAGACCATCCTGCTGCCTGAAGTCAGGATCATCTCTACTTAAGCCATTCTTGATGGATGTATGCCTAATCTGTTCTTAAACCTTCAGGGGTGGAGATTACACATCTCCCCAGGCAATCTCTTCCCGTGCTTAATTATCCTTACTGTTAGGAACGCTTTCCTCTTGCTTAGCCAACATTTCCCTTGTTACAATTTAAGCCTATTGCCTCTTTTCCTATCTGCAGTCGATGCAGAAGTTCATTCATTGCCTCTTCCTTTGCTGCGTCGCATTTGGAGGCTGTGAGTCCTCTTGGCCTTCTCTCCTAGCTAAAGAAACCGAGTCCTTCAACCCTCTTCCTGGAGACCTTTGCTGCACTTTTCATCTCTTCTTTTCTGATGGTCTATCTCTTTTTTGAAGCAAAATGCCCTCAAGTCCATGTAGGATTGCAGCAGAGACCTTTTCACTTGGGATCGGTGGACTGCCTTGATGTTCTGGGGAGAGTTTGGGTTCTTTTTATCCTTCTCCAGGCTTGGGAAGCAGCGTTTCTGCTAAAGCGGGCGGGCTGGGATGCAGAGGTTACCGACAACAGCTCCGGCTGTCATTCAGTGCCTGCACGACACGGAGCCGTTCGTGGGCGTCAGCGGGGTTTGGAATAATTGTCTTCTCTAATTAACTGGTTATCAAACAAGAACATTTCATTACGGTACAATTACTAGCTGCTTTGCTGAGACACAGAGGTGTCAGGATTACGATCCCAACATATGCTTCTTACAGCTCTGATTTTTTGTTTTCATAATCACTAACCATTTTTGCTCCCCCACCCCCCCCCAACCCACCCACTCGCTTAATGACTAATGAATCCTTCCGCTTACGAATAAGGAAAATAAATCAGCGGGCATGGCAGGTTAGAAAGAAAAACATGCAAAATGTTTTGAGGATCCTTAAATCTGATAAATTACTTTGAAATTAAAATCCCTGGGAGAAAATGGGATTTAATTAGGAAGTAACATGGTTTTGTCAATGTTTAAATTAAAATTTTAAAGGTTATAAATATTGCACTGGAGCTCGAGGGGGAATGGCTATAAACTGGAAGAGGGCAGGTTTAGATTAAACATTAGGAAGAAATTTTTCACTCTGAGGGTGGTGAGCCCCTGGCCCAGGTTGCCCAGAGAAGCTGTGGCTGCCCCCTCCCTGGACGTGTTTAAGGCCAGGTTGGACGGGGCTTGGACAACCTGGTGGGCTGGGGAGGTGTCCCTGCCCAGGGCAGGGGGGGGAACTACATGATCTTGAAGGCCCCTTCCAACCTAAACCATTCTGTGATTCTATGAAAGACAAGGACAGATGGGGGGGGGAAGATGTAGCAGGAAAAAAAAAGTGATGGAGATGAAGACGAGCACAGGGTATCCATTTATTTGCATTTAGCTTAAGGAAGTCTCATTTACCTGCCCTCTCACTATCCATAAATTGCATGTTTTTCTCCAGACAAGTCTTCCTAATAATTGAATTAATCTCCACGCGGCTGCACGTACTTTGATTTCCCACTGTCCCAGACTTTTTTTTTTTTTTTTTTTTTTAAAAAAAAAGGCAAAAAAGCTCTTGGTATTTTGCTGTTACAGAGGAGAAATACAAATACGTTTTCAATCCATCAGCACCCAGCGATGGCCAGTGGTGCACCAGCCCGAGGCACGGGAATTCGTGTCTCATCGCTGTGCGGGCAGAAGGGTCCGCATTTAAGAGCATCGGGTAGCAGCAGCGCTGGGGACACCCGGAATTTCTGCTTTCCAGTAAATGCTGTGGCAGCGGCACTGGTGGCCCCGCGATGGGCTAGGGACATTAGCGAGGCGAGGACTGTAGAGAAAGGTAATAGCTTTTATTAGGGGAACTGATACAGTTTGAAGAAATAGTTGCTTTTCACAGGCAAACTCTTCTTCAGGCTGACATTTTGAAATGTAATTTGGGTCTGAATGGAGCAAATATAATACTTCCTCAATACCATAAAGCCAAAGACAAACTGAGGAAAACGCTCCGTTTCAGAAAATTACCATCTGAGACCTCCGGTGTGTCAAGTCAAAAACGTTTCATTACAGGAATCTCTCTGATTTAACAAGGAAAAGAAGGTTTTCAAACCATTTTTAATAGAATTTATCTGTACTGATTTTAAACTGGAATCCAAATAACTGGATAGTTTCACTGCTGGAAGGTTATTTTCCCTTCGGAGGTTGGTGGTAGAAGGGAGTATAGGGTGCTGTCGTGGCCGTGGAAATTTGCAGGGAAAAGGAGATAAATATCCCCACTGGGCTGCAGCACCTTGGGTGTTGAAAGATGTCATTGTTTCAAAAGCAGAATTAAATGTATGGAAATCTGTTCTAATTGAAATCAACTTCGGGTGCACCACTTGAGGAGGGCTTTGAGTTTCCAGCAGAGGAGAGGACCGATGGGTCTTTTTCTTGGGAGTTTCTGCCTTTTTGCTGAAATTTTGATTCCATTTTAAAATATTCTTCTCACTTTAATCTGCTTAACCCCATGAAGACTCACGCTGCTTGAGACAGGCTGGAGTACATCGTTATTTTTACATACGTGAAGGACCAAACTCTGGGCAGAAAGGGGACCAGCACCGTGAAATGATCATGAAACATTTGGAGGAGAGAAGGAAGAATAAACAATAATTCACTCTTACAAAGCTGGTTTGTTTGTATTTTTTCTTGGAGTAGCAAACTCTCCTATTGCTTGCTGTTTCCCTGCAAGCCCCAGCTCCCAGAGTCATAAGATTTGGCAAAAATCTCAGCTTTTATATGCTGAGAAAGGGCTTCCCGGCTGTCAGGGCTGTGGAGAAGAGCCTGAAAGCATTGAGCTCTAACGACTTGGTAATGGGGAAGCCAAGAAAACGAAGTAGTTTAGGATTTCTGAATGTCTCACCGTTTTTTAAGCTCATCCTATCATTTGGGGATTTTGCCTCTTGTCTCGCTCTTCCAAGAGCCTGGATCACGCTTTCCCCTGGTTCCTGTGGGGAAGTCATTTCACTGAGTTCATCCTATAAAATCAGTCTATGTCTCTTAGAGCAGACACTCATAAATACCCGCCCAGGCACGCAGACCGCTCTGGCCTGGGGCGCCTCCAAAAATCCCAGTGTGGTCCAATTCAGGAACTTTATCTGCTTGATTTGGGGTAAATTCCTCCCCAGCAGAAATGAGTTTTCCGTGCAGACGTGCGTGCAGGAACGGCCTCAGCGGTGGGGGGTCCCCTTGAGCCCGCAGAGTGCAGCCGAGCCCAGCAGCACCCTATTCTGCTTTATTAATTATTATCCGTTGCTTGGTCCTTTCAGGCGTACAAGAGGAAAACAGAAGCCGCGAAGAAGGAGTACCTGAAAGCCCTGGCAGCGTACCGGGCCAGCCTCGTCTCCAAGGTAGAGCCCGTGCGTGCATGGTTGCTGGTCGTGGCAATGCTGAATTCGTTGTAACTCATGGGACTCTCTGGGGAGGATCAGTTTTATAAGAAATACAGTGTAATTGTGCTATCAGAACTGATATCAGTGTTAGCCACCTTCCCTGGACCTGTTGGAGTGGTCCAGAGGAGGCCCCGGAGATGCTGGGAGGGCTGGAGCCCCTCTGCTGGGAGGACAGGCTGGGAGAGTTGGGGGGGTTCAGCCTGGAGAAGAGAAGGCTCCAGGAAGACCTCATAGCAGCTTTCCAGTCCCTAAAGGGGCTCCAGGAAAACTGGGGAGGGACTCTTGATCAGGGACGGGAGCCATGGGATGAGGGGGAATGGCTTCAAACTGGAAGAGGGGAGATTTAGATGAGATATTAGGGAGAAATTCTCTCCTGTGAAGGCGGTGAGCCCCTGGGGCAGGTTGCCCCGAGAAGCTGTGGCTGCCCCATCCCTGGAGGTGTTCAAGGCCAGGTTGGACGGGGCTTGGAGCAACCCGGGCTGGGGGGGGGTGGCCCTGCCCAGGGCAGGGGGGTGGAACTACATGATCTTGAAGGTCCCTTCCAACCTAAACCATTCTGTGATTCCCGAGGAGCTAAAAGAAATGCTCTGCATCCTGCATGCTGCCTTCAGCACCCTGAAACGAGACCCCACTTTGGGTCATCTTTGTCAGCGGGTGTCACAGCAGGGGAGGGGTGTCCCTGCTGAGGGACAGAGGTGTCCCTGCTGCCTGTCCCCTCGCCTGGCTCTCAGGTGTGAGTGCAGCAAATGAGGGAGCACCGGTGAGGGCAGGGGGACGAGTCTCACTGTGGGTGACAGCAGGGACTGGTCTGGGGGAAGGTGACACGCCAGCCCCGGGCTCACCGGCCAGCACTGGGCAGCAGCCACGTGCCAACACCCTGCCTGCACCCTGGGCCGGGCATGGGGGCTGTTCTGGCTGGGCAGGACGCCGTGTCCTGCTTCTGCCATGCACGTTCAGGCAAGAGTGGGGCTTCCAGGGAGCGAGACCCATCACTGTGGGTTGAGGAGCATCTGAGCACATATGTGCTTAACGCGCTGCAGTCAGGTGAAAGCCAGAGAGCCCATTTGGGTGCCTAATAATGAACCTTCAGGGGATTGCAGGTTGACACGGGAACTCCCGGTGCTGCAAGGCTGCACCCGGGGAGGCGATGATGGGCCAAGCGCCTGCCCATCCCAGTCTTCCAAACATGGACACCCATCCCAGATCTCACACCTTCCCCTCCTCCATGCCTTCAGAGAGGGGACACGGGTATTTATTGCCTGTGTATTTGAGGTGGCTCCTGCGGAGCTCGTAGGCTTGCTGGCTCAGGGGGACATGCTGCCCTTGGGTTGTGAGTGTGTGTACCAGGCTGTTTTCCCTCCAAAGCTTCTCCTTGGTACCATACCACACCCTCAGCACTTCATCATCGCATTCAGCTGCTATGGGAAATGATGTGATGCCCCAAATCAGCCATCACCTGTGGGATCTGTGTGATTGTGGTGGTGGGCTGGAAGGGCTCAAAGGCGCTGTACAGACATGAGCACCAGTACCTGTCTTAACTTGTAAACAGAACCGCAGCGAGTACAGTAAAAGGGAATGGAAAGGACTGTTTGTGGGTTTAAAAGCTCTTCTTGGTCCTGCTGGAAACATCTGAGGGTCGTGCCTTGAACGTGCCCAGGAGCAGTGTGGGCAGGTAGCGTGGAAGGCATGGGGTCACCACACTCTGTGGTTTCGTTTTTTTTCCAGTTTCTCCAGTGAGGAATTTTTGCAGTAGAGCAACTTTATTTTGAGTAAAACAGCACAGTGTGATCCTGGCTGCCGGGCGAGAAAGGATCTGGAGTATCATTACAGAGCCCATCGCAGGACAAAAACCTCATTGTCTGAGCCAGAAAATGTCCTGTTGTTCTTCTCTTTTTCCTGCAGAAACGAGGCCACCATTGTCCTGTGCATTGTAGACCCCACCAGGGCTGCCGGAATGCACGGGATTGGGAAAGCAGAGTTTGAACAGTCCTGTTCGTTCTCTGTTGGAAGCAAAAATTATTTTTGTCACCCACCTCTGTGGGACCCAAGGAGTGAGCTGCAGGTGGGCGGGTTGATGCCCCTTTGGTGCTCCAGGCTCTGCCGAAGGCACTGTTGAGTTACTGGACTTGAATTTCGCCGATGCGGACGCTGCGCCCAGCCTGCGGTCACCCAGCGAGCCACAGGGCTAGAAGTGCGAGTGCTGGCTGGTGGGAGAGGAGCAGGAGCCGTGGGGAGTTGGGTTAGCTCGGACGGATGGACGGACGTCTCGGGACACATAACGATCTTTCCTTCCTTTCTTCCTTCCTTCCTTCCTTCCTTCTCCTCACCCTCCGTTCTGTTTTCCCGCAGAGCTCCGCTGACCAGGGGGAGACGAAAAGCGCCCAAAGCAATCCACCTTCCAAAATGATCCCCCCCAAGCAGCCCATGTACCCGATGCCGCCGCAGGCTTCCTCGCCCTACCCCGGCCTGGGCTCCTTCCTCTCCCCATCGGACCTGCAGAACTACCGCGGCCACCCCGGCCTCTCCCGGACCCTCACCTCCAAACCCATGCTGCCCAGCATCAGTGCCTCCCCACCGCCCTCCTTCCAGATCAGCCCTCCCCTCCACCAGCAGCTCTCCTTGCACCACCCGCAGAGCTCCCTCCTCAGCCAGCCCCTCAGCATGCAGCAGGTCCCCCAGCAGCCCCTCCTGTCCCCCCCCATGGCACTACAGGTACAGCCCCCCATGAACGCCTCGCCTCCCGGGCAGCAGGTAAGTCCTCAGAGAGGGGTTTGCGGCACGAACCGCAGCGTTTCCCCTCCTTCCCCTTGGGTCTGGTGGTTTCTGGATGGTTTGGAGATGTTGGGCGTCATGTTGTCCCCAAGGGAGTCTTCTCCCGGCTCCGTCGGCTTGATGATCTTGTAGTTTGGGGGTGGTGTTTTCAAAAGGGTTGAGCTGGGAGCATGAGCACCCCCACAAATGGGTCAGATTTGTGCGATGGAGCAATGAAGGTTCTTTCAGCGCAGGAAGATGCGGAAGCTGTGGTAAAAGCTCCTTGGTCCCCCAGCCTTCTCTGGGGGGGGGGCGGGAGGTTTGCTGATGGGCATCTGAAAGGGTTATCAAACATTGGAAGAGGCTGCCCAGGGAGGGGGTGGATTCACCATCCTCGGGGGTGTTTAAAAAAAGGGTAGAGGTGGTACTTGGGGACATGGTTCAGAAGTAGTTTCATCAGGTTGGGTTAATGGTTGGACTTGATGATCTTAAAGGTCCCTTCCGACCTCAGCAATTCTATGATTCCATGATCTGAAGCTATGGGTTGGAGAGCCAGTGAGAAACCCCTCTCGTGACATTGCTGAGAGAAGAAGCAGGGCTGGAAGGGCACGGGGTAATAGCAGGGATGCAGGGGGGTTGCCAGGAGAAGGGGAAAAAGGATGGAGGGAATGTCACAAACAAAATATAAAATCAATACGTTTCCAAAAACTGCCTTGCAATAGGAGAAAAATCACTTCCGTGGCAGAGAGCCGAGCGCACGCAATGTGTGCTTGCGTGTGTGCCTCTACTAAGGGCATGGCAGCAAAGCAAATCCTACAGACGTGTGCTACGAATGCGTAAAACCTGTGGAAGTGAACCATCCTCAGCCATGCCCGGCTCAGCCCGGCAGCCCACGCTCCGGGAGCCAGTCTGCGGGGCGAAAGTCTCTCCTCTTTAAACCTGCAACGGCGAAAATGTATCTGGAGGAAAAAATTGGCTACAGCAAAAAAATATTTCCTATACCTTATAGAGAGGTTGCCAGCGTACAAAGGAGGAGACGAGTGGTTTCCCGAGTTTCTCCATCTGGAATATGAACTGGACGGACTATTCACAGTGGAGGACGTGTCCTCTGAATTCACAGCTGCTGCCATTTACTTGATGATACTTTTAACTGCTCTATTCACCCAGCTGGCTGAATAATTTGTGTTTCACATGTTTACTGGCTATATATCACAGTACTTTATATATCACAGTACGCTGTATATATACAGTACTTTAGCAATGAACAGAGCTTTCTTTCCCATAACGTGACCTATTCAGTTTGGGGCTCACTTTGTGGAAACAGAGATTGTTAATTGAGGAACAGATATTGCAGTGGAAGAAAACCAAAGGTGAGCAGGGGTGTGGAAGCACAGTTATACCCGACCACAATAAAAAAGCAGCAGATGTGGGAAGGTCAAATCCTTAATCAGATTTTAATTTCTAACCTGCTCAGGGTACTGCAAGTAACTTCTCCAGCACGGTGGTTGGGTGTTAGCTCTACATAAGCAAAAGTAATTTGGTGATAGCCTGCGTCCAGAAATGAGCGTAAAAGGGGATCCCCGTAATCACTTTGGTTGGGGTAGTTGTTGTTGCTGAGGGCAGCATTTTGTGAATCTTCATCCCATGTAAATTTGTGACTAAAAAATAAAAAGTTTAAAAAAAAAAAGAAAATACCCCACACTGCCCTAATTTGGATATTTTGGAGAAAATCATGTTCTTGGTCAGGTAACTGCCGCGACTCTTGTTTATATACATTGCCTAATGTTACCTAATTAAGCCAACCCCCCAAAAAAATCAGGAAAGCTAATCAGCTTTCAAATAAAACAGTTCCCCGGCGTCCTTGCTAAATTGCTCGCGGTGACAGCTGATGGAGGGAGCGTTGCTGGCGTGGATGTTCCTTACCTTGTTAGCGTACATTAGGACGGGCTAACGCGGTGCTGCGAAGGGGGCTGCCACCTGAAGTGGGAAACCGGTTTTGATTGCCCGGCTGCTGATTCGGAGCCTTTCGTGGCCACGTGTCTTCTGCAGCCATTTACCGCCCCCTGAGGAGGGAGGGCCTGAAAAACAAGAGCGGGGGGAAGCGGGATGTAAAGCAGATGTTGCTGCGTTGACGGCTGCTTGCGAGAACTCGCCTTCTGTGGGGTCTCACCCCGGTGGTTTCGGGTCCTGGGCTGGGACCCGCCGCTGTCCCTGGGGCTCCCCCTGTACTCTGCGCTGCCGCGGGTTTGGGGCAATGCAACGTGTTTATGTCATATTATTAGATCCGCTGTTTCTCCTGCTGTTTGTACTCCTCTAACCCTTCCTTTCCTTTCCACCCTGCAGGACTTCTCACATATTTCATCTGAGTTTCAAAACAGCGTTGGACCCCGTTCGCCTGGTGCATCAAACCCGCCAGGAAGCACCGAGTGGGACAACGACTACCCCAGCAGAGAGTGTGGGATTAACCACTGCAGGCCAGTAGACAAAACAGCACATTTCTAATGCATTTTCTGTTACCTGAACTGTGACGGTGTAGGACAGCTGAGAACCTGCCCTAACATGTACAGCAAGCTGGTTATGGTCAAGGAAGTTCAAGGTTTCCCCTTCCCTGTAGGCTCACTGAAGTGATGCTATGGAAACAGGTGGCTTAAAAATCACAGATAAATTCTTCATTGGGGATGAAGAGGTTTCCTTTTTTTGTGTTTCCATCCCACTTAGCAATGGAGGATTTGGACACGTTTCCTTCTAGAGCAGGCCAGAGAAGCCCGGTCTCCCCAGGAGAGTCCCTGGAGGTTTGAAGGTGGCCATGTCCATAAGCAATGTCCTTCTGTTCCTAAAGCGATTGCTCTTATCTCTGAGGCCACAACCTGCCGTAGTTGTCTGTAGCACTGGGTCCCTAACGGGTGCTGGGGTTCCACCACGATGGTGTACAAAGCCTCACCCTCCCCAGAGCCACACGATGCTCCAGTGTGCTGCACCTTGCAGGAAAAGCCCAGACATCTGCACAGATCTTCCCCTTTATGCCCAACAAGCTCTGGCACGAATGTGCCCGCACGAAGGTCCCTTCGACGCCGCTTGAATTCCCCAATGAAGGAAAACATCGGGATAGTCTCAGAACTGGGGGGCAGGGAGGGTGGGAAAGCCGTTTCCACCCTCTGCCCGATCCACTGCTCTTGGCTCAGCAATAACAATTCGGAGGCCGCTCTTGTGCTCTGTAAAACAGGCACGCAGTTTGCCGGGAGAGCAGGTAGGGAAGGAGGCTTGGGAGCTTCTGAGTATTGTTTGATTTGCTTGAAGTACTGGAACATAGTGCTTTCACTGGAGATAATAGCAAGCTCACGGCCTTTTCAGAGCACAGCTCCCGTCTGTGCCAGCAGCGCACTTACAATTGCTGGGCCAGGCACAGACTGTACAGACATTTATTTCTTTCAGGGAAATAAATAACTCGCTGAGCCATTAGAATATCGCCGCTGTCTGCCTGCCCGAGGGGGCTCAGCTACCTGGATGGGTCTGGGCTCTGCCGGAGACCTTTGCCTGCTCCTTCCTGAAGGCTCCGCAGACAACCTGAAAGAGGGAACCTGTTTGGGACTGTGGGATAAAAGTCGCTTTAGATGCTGCGGGCAAAACGCTAGAGATGCTTGGAGGGTTATGGCACATCCCAGTGTGCAGAGGGGCTGTGCAGCGGCAGCTCCCGCAGCAATTAACCTCCCTAGAGATAACACGTCGCTACTTCGGGGGTCAGCTGGGAAAGCACTTGATTCCCTCTGCGAATCCCACTGCCCCCCACGCAGAAAACTCAGGGCACTCTAGAAACAGGTGAAACGCTCCCGTAGTCGTCAGGGTTGAGTTTTGTGTTGCTAAGATGAGCTCCGTGACATCTGGCTGGAGTGCCGTATGGTAAGCAGAAGGCCGATGCCATTCGTGATCAAAGCTCATGCGTTTCAGGCCTTTGTCACAGCAGAAATATCGAATTTCATGGGTTTATCGCAGCTTTCTGGGGGGAAAAAAAAAAAAATCATTCTAAAACCAGACAGATTATGCAGAGACTTCCAGATAATTATTATAGAGTAGATTATAGCAGTGAACTCAGATGGATATAGATCAGTACTGCAGAGAGCGCTGAGCGCAGTGAAAAATGTCGCAGTCTCTGTTGAGGAAGGAGCCCATCTCCCGCGACGAGGGACACACGAGCTGCTGGCAGCTCCCAAAGCTGCCTTGTTCTCATTTTATCGTAAAATGCAGCAGTGCCGTCACCTCCTGCTCCTGCTGGCCCCTGGGATTTGCTGCCTACCTGCATGCCCTGCATCGCCTGTAGCATCCGCGCGCCTTCGTAGGGCTGCAGCCCTGGTTGCGTCTCAAGGTTACACTCAATGTCGAGAAGAGAGATGATCTGCTTCTCCTCATCTTCCTGCCTGTACCGCTTTCTCCGCCGTACTTGGTGCTAATTTGCAAGCGACGTTCAAAGTTACCCTCGGGCTGCGCGGCGGCGCTGTGCCCAGAGCCGGGCGGGAGGATGCAGGGTGAGCTGTGCGCCTGAGCCGCCCCGGCAATCAGCAAAGCGGTGATAAAGGGAAGGTGCATCTTGTTGGGTTTGATTCATCGGCACAGTTTGAGGTGTAATCGGGAAGTCTCTGGATCATGTAACTGCCCATCTCAACCTCAAAACTGCATTTTTCTTAATTGCAATAGAAGCGGCACTCTGAGGAGCAAAAGCAGCAACGGGCTGGAAAGAAAAAGGATTATTTTCTGTTGTGATCTGGCTCAGCTGTAAGGTGCCAGGTTCCTGAAAGAGGGGATCGCACCGACCTCCCCAGCACACAGGCAGTCCCATCTTGCTCTCCAGGTTAGGATTTTCATGTCATTTCTGACCTCGATATTTCTTTAGCTTCCAACATGTGTTGGCACTGTGTTAGCAGGGGTAAAACCTCCCAGTCCTACATTTTCTGTGGTGTTTGTCGCCCAGACAACTTCTGAAAAACTGACAAGGTTGTCTTTCTCTCTGTCCCTCTCCATCGAATAAGGGATCTGCTGTTGTTTTTTTTATTTTCCCAGCCTATCAGTGCTAGTTAAAATGCCGTTAAATGACACTGCTTCCCTTATGCCCCTCAAATTCTAGGATGCTGTGAGCAGACACTCCTTAATTCATAAACCAGCCGTGTTAGAGAGTTTTAAATCTTTCTTAGCTCATCCTCTCCCCATTCTTAATGATTTTGTGCTTACTGACTTCCATCCAATTTTCCTAGCTCTTTCTGGGCTGAAGCCCAAGCTGTCCTAGATCGCTAGCGAAGACACGGGTAGCATTTCTCAGCTCCTGCTTAGTATACGACTATCACTTCCCACAAGCAACTGCAGCATACAATTTTATTGCTTTTTTTGCCGTCATATCACAAACTACTTACATAGTCCCCTGTCTCCCTCACCTGACAGCCTTATTCTCGCGCTTGCTCTTTCCCAGGCACCCGCGCAGTACCTGTGCTTTGCAGTGACTTTCCCCGAGGGAACCGGTTCACCTGTACCAAGGGTGCAGCTTGGTTTGCCATCACTTGCAAATCTTTCTTAATTCCTCGAGGCACCTCACTCATATTTTTTTCTACCCCGACTTCTGATTACAACGCTTTCCATACCACAGCCGTCTTCAGGTTGCGTTTACATTTGTCTCTTGGCATTTAGGTATTTTGGTGATAATACTGAACTGGATTCATCTTGCTATGTCCTCCCTCTCATGCATAAGGCATGGATTAGGTTCTTTTGGGGTACCATTATTTAGCAAATTTTGTCCCCTCTTCCCACTCTCCTTTGGGCAAAAAGACGGGATGCGCTTAGTTATACTTTGTCCAGAAGCAAAAAACTATGTACAGCCACTTCATCCTGACACTTGTAACCTCGTTAATTCCTGCTAACAATGAAAGGATCCTCTCCAAAGGAGGGAATTTTCCAAATCAGAAGCTAGATGAGCAAACACTGTAAAAAGGCAAGGGTAAACCACCACAAATGCACTTAGTTTGGATTCAATTATTTATGGTAATACTTCGTAATGAACTGGGAAATGTTCTGTAGCATGTTTTGTAAAATTAATGAAGTTTTAGTACTGGAATACCTCACTGCTGCTCAGTGGCATTAAATCTTTGCTGAGTGCAGTAGGGAAGACTCCACATTTTAAATGCAGTTTATAAAATGTGGAGATTAACAAAGTGCGGACTCTTCTGCACTCTATCAGAAGACAACTCTATCAACAGCAGCATTACCTTGCTGTCTGCTATTTCCCTTTTATTCCACTCAAGCACACCCACACCAGAATCTCCCAAACCTTTGTAAAGTTCTTCACCACCTATTAAGGCCAAGATGTCTTTATGCAGCCAGTGGCGTTTCCATCAGGTCTGTGTAGATGATAAAACCCATTAAAATGATGGAATTTCAAAGCAAAACCCATATCAGATGTCAGCCAGGGGAGAGGGACTTCAGCCACTCCTCTCTCTCTACTATGGCCTGAAAAAAAGAGCATCTGGGCTCCCTCGTAGGACACTGCTGATGGCACGTTGAACGTGCCAACCACCCCACAGGGAGGGTTGAAGCACCGGGTGCTACAGGCAGGGATGGGAGCGGTGGCACCTATCTGCACGCCTTGCTGTAGAGCCCTCTGCACGCAGGGTGGCTCGGTGGTGTAAGCTGGCTTCCCTCTCCAGGACACACCTGGATCTCTTGAAATCAAAGCCATTGCCTCGATGGCGTGATCAGCCCAAGATCTGGTGGGGCAGGGATGTGCAGAGCACACAGCCTGGCTGCTGTCCCCCCAGCCCTCCTCCCTAGCCTCCTGCGAGTAAGGCAGCACCGCAGTCTTCCTTGGGTTCCTTCCACCTCCTGCTGTCTTCATCAGACCAACGGGAACGACCAGCTAATCCTGCGATGTCAAAGCATTTTTTCCCCTCACTTCCCGATTATTAATTTTTGTACTTGTACTTATTTTGGGAGAGGAGGAGAGCAGCATCGAGGAGGGGGTGTCTCTTGCTCGCATGCTCTTCAGCCATCAAACTGATGTAAATCCTCCTGGACACCCATAAGCCTCTCCAGCCATAAGCCCCTCAGTCGTATTTTTGAGACCCTCCTACTCCTTATGCAGTCTCAGAATCACAGAATGGTTTAGGTTGGAAGGGACCTTGAAGTTCCACCCCCCTGCCCTGGGCAGGGACACCTCCCACCAGCCCAGGTTGCCCAAGGCCACCTCCAGCCTGGCCTTGAACACCTCCAGGGATGGGGCCTCAACAACCTCTCTGGGCAACCTGGGCCAGTGCCTCACCACCCTCACAGGGAAAAACTTCTTCCTAATGTTTAATCTAAACCTGCCCTCTTCCAGTTGAAAGCCATTCCCCCTCGTCCTTTCACTCCATGCCCCAGTAAAAAGTCCCTCCCCAGCTCTCCTGGAGCCCCTTTAGGGACTGGAAGGTGGCAATAAGATCTCCCCGGAGCCTTCTCTTCTCCAGGCTGAACAGCCCCATTTTCTAAATCTCCATGGCTTAGCCCAAGTATAGCGTGTGATGGAGAAGGGGGCCGGTGGCCAAGGGGCTGATTCCAGGCATGGCACGATGGTGGAGCTGATACCAGCATCAAGCTGGCGGCTCTGCAGGGAAATCCAACTCCAGCAAGAGCAAAAATTAAGCCACAGGAAGGAATTTATGCCTTAGCCCTTGTTGTTGAAGCTCAGGAAGAACTAAAAATGTGTCAGGCTCTGACCCTTGAGTGCCTTCTGCTGGGTTCATCTCTGCACACCCATCCCCTGGTGCAGACCACTTTATGTTTTGCATTGTGGAGTGCCATAAAAACCACGGTAGGGCTGAAAAGGGGTATGCCGCCGGGCGTGCAAAGGCTGATTCCAGCTCCCCCAGGCGACTCCCCGGCTGTTTCCCTGCCCGGCTCACCTTCCGCCTCTCGCTTCTCTTACAGCATGCTGCCAAGGGACAAGGCACTCTACCTCACCTAAAACTCAACATCTCGGTTTTGAGGAGGCTCAGATGAAGGACACTGGAGAGGGTCTATCTTACAGAGTACCCGGAGAGGCACCGAGCAAGTCGTACGGACGAGAGAGCTACCACTGCACCTCGTCGCTGGCTTCGTTCCCAGGCTCTAAGAGCAGTTTTCTTTTTATTATTTTTGAACTCTAAAGTCTACTTTCCGTGGAAGCCCAAAACCTCATAAATCATGAAGAACAACAGCAACAAAAAAAAAAATTAAAAAAAAAAAAATCAAATAAATAAACGCAAAACCAACAAAAAAAAATAACCTAAGGAGATCGTTTTTCTGCTTGCCATCAGCTTAGCTACAGACTATTTTCCTAGCGAACTGCTTTTAGACGCAGCATAGGCCCAGGTCTGGTGTCCTACAGCGTTAGGCCAGCTCAGTAGGAGGATGCACTCTTTTGACTTGCTAACAGCACTAAACTTTGTGCAAGAAAATGTGAAGTTTGTGTGAATATTGTACATGCAAAGGCCTTGGATGTCTGGCGAAAAAAAAAAATAAAATACAAAAAATAAATAAAAACTATTGCTAGGTAGGTGGGGGGAAGAGAGCAGAAGGCAAAATACGAGAGGAAAAATGTGAAAAAGATGAAAATATAATTTGTTGGATAGTTGTAAGTAGTTTACTAAGTGTTTTAGAGCTGTGCTAAAGACATCTTTAAGATTTTTTTGTGAAAAAAATTAGTAGTTTACTTTATAGTAAAAGCATTTTATATTAATTGTAGCACATTTTTTAGTTATACATAGAAGGGAGATGTGTATAAAAAAAACAACAAAAAAAAAGCCTGCCAAACTTGTTTCTATTATTTGTACAGCAAGAAATGGACAATTTATATCCATGTTGTATGGCATTATTATATTTTTTCTGCCATATGTCCATCTATTTAAAAATTGCTGACAATGATTTTTGTCTATTTATGAAAAATTAGAGAGCATAATTACCGTTTCTCATAAGGTGCATTTTTGGGTTTGGGTTTTTTTTTTATTTTTATTTTTTATTTTGTTTGACGGTACTGCTTTCGCAGCACCCAGCACATTTGGTTCACAATGCTTATCTTACCTTTCTTTATAATAAAACATATGAAAAGTAGAACTGAACTGATCTCTCCTTATTCCGGGGGCACACTCTGGAAACGTCCCGGCCAGCGAGATCCCTGCCTTGTCCTTGTCCTCAACTTTCCCATCCCTCGCTCCTCTCCCATCACATTCTCACTTGCTTCCTCCTTCTCTCCCCTCGCTCTGGGCTAACACTACTTAATTAAATCCATCTGCAATGAGAGTTGTCACTGAACAATGGCAGAGGAGCGTTTTTCTTTCATTTGCTTGGAAAATGCCAACTTTGCCCTCAACAGAGGGTACTTTCCTTTCTCAAGGAGTAACTTCTTGCTCACAAAGCTATCCCGTACCCCGGCCCCATCAACTCTCCTCCCTTTGGCCAACCCTTGAGCAGACACAAAATGTCCACACCAGATATGGGGGGTCACCAAGCTGCCTGGTGGCCGCCAGCAGGTGCCCACAAAAGCCCCATTTCCAACTTTTCCTAAGGAAGCGTGGACGAGAAGGACACGGAAAGGGTGGAGAATTC